ATATATATATATATATATATATATATATATATATATATATATATATATATATATATATATAAAAGAAAGCTTAAGAAAGTAGTTTACAATACATACCATCTAAAATTACTTTTGTTTGATCTGGTGTAGATATGACATAGAACACGACAACCTTTTATGGAACTTATGAAGCATTCTGGTGTCATTAGGAATTGTAGCCCCTAATGACCAATTGAACATTAGTGGTACTGATGTAACCATTAACAGACAACATTTAGACATTCAACATGAGAAACATGATATGATAATATAAAAAGAATAAGACAAATAATATTAATAAACCAAGATGTAACGACCCTAATTTACTTCCATTAGAACAATATTTATTTTCATATGACTATTTCGGTTTTAAGGGTATATAATAGAATAAAAATAAATAAAAAGGGGGTTATTTATAATCTAAAAGAATTAATTGATATTAAAAGGTACAGTAATTTAACTAAATTGATTTATAAAATATGAGATAAATATATGTCATTAAAAGGTGTAAATGATGTTGAGTGGCTGGAATGTCATTAAAATGAACTTTAATTGTGAAGGTAACTAGGGTTGGGGAAGAAGGGATTTAAAGCTAAAAGTATAAGGGCTAATTGGTATGGAGCAAAGGTATCGATGAGACTTCCTTTGCTTATTCGTTTCTCTTTGATAGTCATTCCTAACGAGGTTCAAGAGAATCTCTTGATCGATTCATGGGTTACTACTTCACACAACGAGGAGAGAGAGAGAGAGAGAGAGAGAGAGAGAGAGAAGACGAACAAGGGTAACAAGAGAGACGTTTGTGGTTGTTCTATTCGATTGACATAAAAGTAAAATAAAAACAAAAAAACACACAACGCTTTGTGTTATGTTCTTGTTGTGTGTGTGGGTCAGGAGGCAATCAAATTCGTGGATTATTTCCTGTGGTGGCATGGATCGACATTAAGAAGGAAAAATAAAACGATCGAATCAAGGGGTTGTGGGAATTGACGACACAAGGTGTGTGTGTGTGTGAGAGAGAGAGAGAGAGAGAGTGAGTGAGAGAGAGAGAGAAAGAGAGAGAGAGAGAGAGAGAGAGAGAGATTTGGACATGAATCATGGCGTGCTTGAGGTTACGACTCAATTGGTAAGCTACTTTATTTTATTCCTCCTTATGTGATTAAATTTAAGTTGCTAGTGTTTTAAAAGGAATTATGAAGTTGAATTCTTTCTCATTGACTCGATTAATCTTCTACTTTCTCTACAATTTGTGTGACTCCTTCTATGGCTGAATTCCAACCACAATATGTGTGTTCTTGATTTTTTCTTGTTGTCAAATCTTTTCTAAAAACAATCTCTTATATGTTGGTTTTGGTGTGTAAGAGTTGATTGAAATTGTGGATCAATTGTCTCCATTTGGTGTCAAAATTTTGTTTTCTTTTATTCTCAATTCTTATGATTACTTGTATGGATAAACTCCAACTTTTTTTAGGCTTATTAATGATTATTTTTCTATCAAAATTCTTCCTAACATGTATCTTGACATGCTGGTGTGGTTGAATAAAAATTGGTTGGAATGATAGACTCAAATCGTCTTTCTTGATGTTGTAACACCCATAAAATTTAAGCCAATTTAAAACATTTTAATCCATTCAAAAACCATTAAGTTATTACAACTTGTTTTCAAAATAGTTTAAACATCAGAGTATCCCCAGAACCAAATCACAAAGTCATGAAATATGAGGAGCGGTACGATCACGCCTTTGCCTTGCCATGATCAACCGATGTACCTGAAACAATAAACTGAAAACCGTAAGCTCGAAAGCTTAGTGAGTTCCCCCAAAATACCCGTACACACATAACCATACACATACAACAATGAACAACATACTATGGGTCCAATCAACCGTCAAATTGGAATACCCCAGGCCCTCAACCATCAGGTTGGAATGCCAACATTGTAAGGGTCGAATTGTTGTAATTAGTCGAAGTATGTTTTGGACTCTTCGAATGTTTTGTAATGTATTTTACTAGGGCGATTTTATTCGAAGCTTTAGAGTCATCGCCTTAGTATATTTTTTGTATGCTTTCAGTTCCCTATAAATAGGGTTATTTACTAGAGTTAGATAAGAACTTTTACAGACTTGTCTATTGCACTCTGTAAAGAATTCAAAAGAATAATAGAGCATAACAAGATCATATTTACATCCTGTGTTCAAATCTCGCATTCTTACTTGAATTCATACT